CTGCAGAATACACTTACTGAGAAGTGATAAGTAACCTGCCTTTCCTGTCCTTTGTCTGAGCAAATGAAAGAAACAAAGCCCATGAAGTGCCTGTAAAACATCTGCATGTGTCAAGTGGGAAGCTGCTCCTTTGGCAGCACTCAGTTCTCTCCTAGTCTTACAGGGACAGAGACACAAGACCATTATCAGAGGGGAGCTCCAATATGCAAATACATGGATAAGAGGGACTTGGAGTGTTGGGATGACCCTCTGGTGGCAGCACTGCACACTCATCTGCCCTCCAATGTGTGGCAGCACACAGCCCTGCAGTAGATGAAAGCAGTGGATTAGCACCCCTTTGGAGTGAGGATGTAAATCCAGCTAGCAACGTCTGCAGGTCTGACTTCTGGTGTTGCTTAGCACAAAGGGAGACCTTTGGCATTTTCAGTCAGTTCTGCCACTAGGTGGGAAGGCTCATCTGCTTCAGTTCAGGCTTGCTGAGAGCAATATTTTATCTGGCCCAAAAATGCAAGAGAAAACAAAAAACAATTCATATTTCAAGACATAAGAAAAGAAAGCACCCAGGGATTCACAGAGACTTTGGCTGCTTGATGGGGTTGCTCTGAGATGGTGTGCTCTGTGAGTGAAGATCTGATTTGCTGGAAGCAAATTCTCTGATGTGGACTTCAAAGCTACAAAATACACCTGCCTGGGCAAAACAAGTGAAAAAGAACAAACTATCCATCTGCATTAAAAAAAAAAAAATCCTGAAAAATGCCTTGGCGTAAGCCAGATGTGAAGAGCCTTTACCTTCTATGCTGGTCAGTCATCCAGCCTTGGCATTTAAGTTTTTAAAAGACAGAACAACTTTTAGGTATTTTAAGCTTCATTTACTTTATGCTTGAAGCATGTCTTGTTCAAGAGAAACTGTGCTGCAGAATTTGTGATTCTCTGTCAAAGCATGCTGGCCCTGCATTAAGCACATTCCAAACCATTCCTGACTAAATTCTTTTGCAGATCCTTTTCCATCATTAGCCAGTACTCCTACCACCATCAGGAAGCTCTTGTGCTTGAATAATTGCATTTCTGTGAAATTCTCTTTGCCAGAAAAAAAGTTGCTTGAATGTATGATGGAGTTCACACAGATTTACTGTGAAAATGGACAGGTGAAAATTGTACAATAATATATAGCAATAGTTTTTTTACTGCCAGTGGTTGTGTCTTATCAGCTGGGAGTTTGCTACAAGCCTGCTTGACTGACAAGGTAGTGAGAAAAGCTAAACCAGAGACTTCTGCTGAACCTGGTCCTTTACTGTATCAAGGTGACCCCAGCAAAGCAGAAGACAGTGATGTCTGCAAACAAGCTTTTCTACTTTCTTTCCTTGTTTCTTCAAACACTTTCTTAACTGTTGATTCATTAGAAATTCACAAATAACTTTCTCTGTTCCTCAGCTAATTATTTTATTAAGTGTAAAGGCATCTGAAATGTCTGTCTGCTCTGAACAGAATCCATCTGTAAATTGAAAACTTTTAGGATACTATTCATTCCAGGAATTTTGATGTTGTTAATTAAATTATGCAAGGGGAATATTTTTTTAATAAGACCAATTAGTAGTGGAACTACTGAAGGTCATGCAGAATAGCAGTAATGATGTGCAAAAGTTTGGGATTTACACAAGATGAATTGTTGGAATTACAAATTGCCTGCTACTTCCTTTTGCCTGGAACTGTGGCTCAGTGTAATATTGCATGGCTTGAAGCCAGCCCTAAAGCCAGGACCTGCAAAGGGGCACTTTCCATGCTCAGTGCCTATTTCTCCATATATTGAAGGATACATTTAGGGACCACAGAATTCAGCCTCGTTTTTATTGCAGTATTTGGGGGAGAATGTAGTGAAACATGCCATGTTCCTTTCTGGGTGGGGATGGTTGGAGTTCCCTGAAAACCAGCAGTAACAGCTTCTTGCTGTAGCTGTGTGGTGATAACAGCAGGAGGGGAGGAATCTCCCTTACTTTTCCATATGGAGGCTTATTTTGGGAGATGAAGTGGTTCTGCAGGGAAGTCAGTGTTACCTTTCTGATGGTGTCCCCCTCCCAGACACAAAAGGAGTGATGAGAGTTATAAACCAGAAGCTATTTCAGAAGCTATAGAGGAGTGAGATGTCCTTACCAGCTTGAAGAGTATCCGAACAGCAAGTGAGAGCTGGAGTTTGGATGGGCCCTTGAAGTATCATCAAGCCCCAAGTTCTTTCCATTCCAGGACAGATCAGGTCAACCCAGACCTGCATTATTTTGCTACTGAGATAAAAATTATTTGTCCCATGAGAAAAGTTGTTCATGCCACCCTCTGATCAGTGATGGGTTTGCAGATGAGATGAACTATGGGGTTTTTCAGGTGTTGCTGGCTCCAAACTTTGAACTGTGAATACAAACTCACTCCAGATTTTCCTGTTCATGGTATTAGTTTATTTTGCTAGTTTCCCTGGTGGCAAAGCTAGGAAATAGATCTGCCCAGGCACATTCAGAGCATGCAGGTTGTCATGGTAAAGGTTCCTGATGCTTTATATTGGGTTTGTTTATTACAGAAGCTGTCTACCAACAGCTGGAGTTTTTAAGTTTTCCTATCTGCGTAGAAAACTTCATATTTCTTCAAACCAGACATTATTACCTCAGGGTATTTACTCTGCATGTATAGAAACCTTAGACTCTCCTTGGAGTATTTTCATTTCTCAGGGCTTGTTTTTTTAGGTAAACATCTGCTGGTTTGAGAAAAGTACATTCTGTAAGATATTTTGCCTGTAACACTTAATGTCCAGCATGGTGTGCTGGGAAAAGGGCAAATACTGTCAATGCTGATAGACCTTGTCTATCCTTTTCTTTTTCACATTGCTACAGTGTCTTTTTCCATTAATATCAAGCATGGACTGAGCAGCCACATGCTAGGAATCACCAAGTGGTATTTAAAAAGATGTGTGTCGTGACTCCAAGGCAAGCAGCACAAAAAGACCTCACACCATGCAGGCATTCAGCATGTTGGGAAGAGGTGAGGTGGATACAGCCAGAGGCTCCAGTTGTCCCCTCTACCCATGGAGGACACACAGCACCTCACAGGGTTGGGTGAGCCTGTAGTGGAATTAAATGTCTGCCTAGAAGTGTTTCAGACTCTTCATTAGTTACTGAAGTTTGGAACTTTCTCTGATGGTTGTCAGTGTTGTAGGCTGTGCAGATAATTGAATATCCACTCTTCTCTCTTGTATGTCTGGTCTAGTTGTGTAATCTGCCAGTATCTCCACGTGTTCAGGGGCCAGCTGTGGTGCCAGAGTTCATAGTGAATATGGAGATAATGAAAGAGTCTGGAAAACATTTTCAGGATAAACATTTTCCATTTTTGTCTTTTGCTATTTGAGAAACAGAGACTCAAGTGCAGCCTTTAAATCTTTTCTTGCTGTATCCTAATGTTTCAAAGCAGTTATAATTTTGGATCTTGACTTGGAAACAATTTAAAGGCGGCTGATTTTCTGTGGCTGGGAGTGCTGTGCTTCCTGACTAATCAGACTCTTTAGACATGTCTTAAATTGGGCACTGAAATAATGGATAGACAAGTGCAAGCAGTTGACTCAGCTCTATGGGGGTTTAGGCAAAGGCACTTTAACACTCAGCTCTGATATGCTCTGAGTGTGCACACAGCCAGTTATCACTCCTGGGCTGGCAAGAGGTGAATGATTCAGGCACAGCAAAGCAATCATGGGAAGCTATTAGCCCATACTCAGCAAAGTGGTGTGCTCCAAATGATTAGCCCCTTCTGGAAAAGTGTAGGCCTGTTCTATTTCAGCCAAGAGAGTCTCCTGCTAACACAGAGAATAAGTGTTTTACTGACATAGTAAAACACTTCTTTCAAATACAGAAAATTCATTATTTAGGCTTTCCATGTTTGCTCAAAGCCCTGAAAGATTCAGCAGAGTCTCCACTCACGTTAAATGAGGTCTGTTCTCCCAGCTAAGCTGCTGATTCTACACCTGCTCCATAACCTGGAGCACCTATGTGAAGTAAAATAGGCAAAGAAAAGTGGGTGCAGCAGCTGTACGTGCATGCCAAGGGAATGGGCATGGTTCTTCCAAATTTCCTGACTTGGAGGTTTTCTGGGTTTGTTTGTTTATTTTTTTCTTTTTCTTTTTCTTTTTCTTTTTCTTTTTCTTTTTCTTTTTCTTTTTCTTTTTCTTTTTCTTTTTCTTTTTCTTTTTCTTTTTCTTTTTCTTTTTCTTTTTCTTTGTTGTCTTCTGCAGGAGGCAGACAGTTATCTGTCCTGGCAGTGTAAGCACATTCCTGGACTACCTAGAGCAGTGAAAACTGTAGCCAGACAAAAAAACCCAGTAAAATGCCGAATTTTTAAAGAGAAAAGAAATTTGAATAATTTCAAAGTTTTCTTTTTTGAGGTGAAAGGAAGAATTCTTTACTCTATTGCTTGAATAATGCTTTGAAGTTTGGTCCTTAGCCAAAAGCCTGTTGACAGTAACATCAGTGTTGGGCTGACTGGCATGATGTATTTCTTGGGAGTCTTTAAAAGCTCTCTGAGCAGCTCACCAATGAAGGAATTATTCCTCTGTCTTTATGCATGGATAAGGAGCAGTCATTCAGTGATTTACCTGCCTTTTAGGGACAAATCTCTAAACCTGGTAGAGATCCAAGGAGTCTGACAGGGAAGTCACCTCTTTCTTTTTAACAACCAGTCTGGTGTCACCTTATGTTGACACCATTTTCATACCTTCTCATTGTTCATGTACTATTTTTCTCAGAAAAAAAAAATGGGTGGCTAACCTCAGAGTTTCATTTTACACCTATTTCCTGTAGATGCAAATCAACATCACTCTTTTTCCCATGGTTTATAGTTATTCTTTCCTTTTTTTTTAACTCCTCCAGTTTTTTGTAAGGAGGTTTATCTGAGGTGTTGATATTTCTTACAATAATTTTCTCACTAGTAGCTATGGCAAAGTCTCTAATCTTCTCTCTTCCTTTTATCCTCAGGAAATCCACTGACTGTGGCCTGCAAAGCTTTCTTTGGATTCAGTGGAGAATCAGGCCCCATGATCTACTGGATGAAAGGGGAAAAATTCATAGAAGAATTAGAAGGTCACATTAGAGAAGGCGAAGTCAGGTACTTTTTGAATTATTTACTATTAAAAATACTGTATGTCCCACAAGCCTGTTGAGCTGACAAGTTTTTAATTGAAAGCGGAAATAATTTTCTGTCCAAGGAGTGATGGATGACTTGGAGCCAGGGCTGTGTGAGTTGCTCCCTGTCCTTTGTAGTGAGGACACTAAAGACAGAGTAACTTACGCCTGAAAATCTGTTGCCAAATTCCTCTGATGGTTGGAGGCTGAAACATCTCCTGAGTGTTCTGGGGGTTGATTCTGCATGGGAATGGTGCTGTCCCATAGGACCTGCCTTGGCAAGGTGACATCCATTCCAGCACCACTGTTAATCTTGAAGACAAATGGTCTCCTGTCAAAGCCACCACACTTTTTCTCTTCTCCTGAATGTGTTTTGTGTGTGTGTGATCCAGCTCTCAGTGTTCCTTAACCTGAGCCTTCAAGAGTCAGCATTTGTTCCTCCAGGCTTAACACACAAGAGAGAGGAAGGAGTGGCTGTGTCCAATATCCAGCTTGTTCTGGGCTTTTTCCCAGGTGTTGGTTATCACTTGATGTAAGTTGTAAAGAAAACACACTTGTATCCCCATGAACTTCCATGGAATTTGCACCTAACAGCACCTTACTCTCCTCCCTAATAATTACCTGGTTATTGTTCTCTGAGCAAAGACTAAGTTATGGCTATACTGTGGGCAAGGTGGTCCCAGCTCCTATAGATACAATGAATATCAATTATGATACAATGACTATGGATTATGAAGAAAGCCAAGGTCTTTTCACTTTCCATTGCACATTTTTTAATCTCATGTCTGAGATTTTTGTTTCTTGTAAAGGTGATTTTGGAGAGCAAGAGGAGAGAGGTCCCTTTGCTTTATTACTTGATCAATAATGTGAAGTTCAGCCACTTAGCCACGAGTTGTTAAGATACACTTAATTGCACACAGATTAAATTTATCTTATATTGCCATTGTACAATCCTCCTTTGTGCTTCTGACCACAAAAAGCAATTATTGGAAACTTCTGCCATTGTAAGTAATCAGCACTTAATGGCATTGTGCTCTCTCTGGTGTGTTTATATATGAACAGAGTGATTTTGGTCATGTTCTTCCTCTGCATCAGGACAATTTGAGGTTTGTATTTAAAGAGTGCTCCAGCTTTGGCACAGTTCAAAACTTTTATGTACATTTATTAGTGAAACTGAGTTTGAAAAGGCTGTTACTTGTCCTTTGTTGTGCCATCTCATTGCACATTCATGTTTCAAACTAATTTGTGACAAGTCACTTTTCTCATTCCACTAAAGTGCTTTGACTCAGTTTACAGACCTTCACAATTCACTGAATCTTCTCTTCAGCATAGCTACTTATCACCTACCTAATCTCCTGTGATCACTGCCAGCATTTAAAACAGCAATTTCCAAAACACACTGCATCATTACCAGCAGTGTCCCAGTCCATCCCTTTTTTATTTAGAAGTAGCTATGGCAACTGAAGTAGTAACTTTTTGCAAATGATTTTTTGCCCATAACAGCTCTTGTTTTTGTATTCCGTTACAGGTATGCTGCTTCAGGGGAACTAAGCAGCACTAATTATTCTGTTAGTGCCCTGAGGCAGCCCACATCTTCCACCCAGATGTATATTTTGATGTATTTAAAAATTGTCATGTGTGTTTCAAATTTGATGAGCCATGGTGAACTTGCTGGTTTGATGTCTGCTTAATCAGTTTGCTTCTCTATGGTGTTACCAGGACATTTTATTTTGAGAAGCTAGGAGTAGTACAGAATTGTTACAACCAGAACAAGATACTCCCTGGGCTGTTCCTTTGGTACATTTCAACTCTGCATCCCCTATCTTGAATTAGTTCACAAATTTAGTAGCACTCTGAATTGATGGTGCTGTCCTTACACTGGGCTGTGCCCATCCATTGTGTTGCTGGATTTTCTGTGTATGATGAGAGCTCAGGTTTGCAAATGACATGTGGGAGCACAAACCACCCATCCCCAGTGTGCAGGGTTAACACTCACTGTGCTGTCATGAAAGCACTAAAATAAGGATGCATGTAACCTGAGTATTCCTGTTCAAACCCAATCCATGGAACGGGGTTTTGGTAAGCACACTTCACCAAGAGTCATACTGGTGTCGCTCTGGGCTTCTCAGTATTTATTAGACCTTTTTACAAAGCTTCATGATAAAAAGTAACTCAAAGTATTGCAGGACATGGAGGCAATGACACCCTGTCTGAGCTGCTCCCTTGTCATCCCTTGAATTAAGATCCCCAGGTGTTAGACATGCATGGGGGGAAGGAGGAAGAGACTTTGCTTGCCAGGTGGGTTTTTCACAGCAGTAATAAAAATGTCATGTAAATTGAACCAGAGTTATTAAAGAAGGAATCAGAGTCTTTAAGCATGTCTGCAGAGTTGTCAGCTGTACCTAATTATCCAAGCAGCCCACAGCAAGTTTCAGCACCAGCTCTCTGCCATGGCAAAGTATTTTCAGACATAAATGTTGCTCTCTCAGCCACCTATGAATTACTTCTTTAGTTCTTCAACAGGCAACACTGCTGAATAGTAATAATGCTCATCTTGTAGAGTGTGTTTGTCCTTGTTTTGTCTCTCTTGTCCATTTTTGAAGTAGAATAAGTTTAACTCATCCTAGAGGGATGAAAAGAGGTGAATGGAGACATTTTGAATGGCAGCCTTATTTCTTGTGATTGATTTATCACCCAAGAAGCCAACAGATGGTTATGAAATGCTCAGACAAGATGAGGATGTTGTTTTCTGTTAGGAGGGGGTGCTGGGGGCAGCAGGCACAACTCCCATAGCTAATGTGCTGGGTACTTTGCAGAAGTATGGAAGCATCAGCTCTCTCCTGAAAAGCTTACACTACTCAAGTAGACAAATTCAGGGCAGAGAACAAGAAACACAATGCAGGAAAGAGAGGGAAGGTCACTGTCATGCTGCCAGTTGAATGACTTTGCTTTGGAGAGGTGCTTGTGTACACACAGAAATTTTCTTTCACCTACAGCTGTTGTCAAGGAATAGAAGGAAGGGAGTAGACTTCATAACCCTGTTCACAGTCCAGATCCTCAGCTTTATAAAGAATGAAAGTTTCACTTTTGCTAATCCCAACTCTCATGCAGGTTAGTAAAAGTTTGCGATGAATGCCTCTGTCTTGCAGAGAGACCCAAGTGAAGCTTTCTTATGGCCTTGTATGTGTGGTCCTACAAAGACTGAACATTTTGGGAAAGTATGGTCTCAAAGTAAAAGTGTTTTAAATTCAGATTCAACTTAGTGCATACAAGCACTGGGAAGATATGACCAAGGATTTGAAAAATCCAAGCCATTGCATAATTTTAAAAGAAAGCATCTCTATTCTGTAATGACACTTCCTTTTTAAAATTCATATTCTTACCTGAAAATTATTCACTAGACAAAATGTTTTGTTTCAGATCAAATAAAATGCTTCAACCTGAAGGAAAAGAAGGCACTGAGTGTTGTTTTTACATCACCACCTTTTATTTCTCTTTTTCCATCCTGTTTGTTGTGAGTTGTCAAGCACCATTGATTTAGCTATGCATTAAATGTCGTAATTACTCTTACACTTTGTTCAGCAGCCCAGAAAGTTATTGTTTTCTCAACTTGTGGGAGCTGGCATGTGTTGACAGTGATGCTCGTGAAGCTTCTCCCACCTCAGACAGGGACAGAGATTCATGTCTGGGTGTGCACCAAATGCTGTTGCACCCTTGAGGTCTTATTGTTGATATTGTATTGTGCTCCGTGTTCTCTGAACCAACAACAAAAATTAATTAATCAATGCAATTAATTAAGGGCTGTGTGTGCATTAAAAAATGCAGGTGACCAGCTGTGCTTTTCTGTGGCAATAATGTACATGTAGAGTAATGTTAAAAGAAAAAAGAAGAAAAGTGAGTAAAACAGGAATGAAAGGTTTAACACTGCTAAGAGCTTCCTACATTTTGCTGCCAGCATAATGCTTAAATGTTTGTCACCATTTTCATGATAGATCCCACTCTATAGATTTCCATTGCTAAAAATTGCTGTTAGAAGATATGTAGAAAAGAATTTTTAGTCCAAATATATTGAATATTCTTTTTTTTATGAAAGCTCCTCTTTAGCTGATTATATATTATTTAAATTTAGGTTAAGGGTCTGTTATTTTATCTTACATACAGGTAGTTTAGATATAGATAAAAATAACAGTCTCTTTTATCTTAACTGTAACCTGTCTCCATTTTTTTTTTCTGTGTAAAATATCCGATTACAATAAACAAGAAAATCTGAACATTTGCAGAATGCTCCAGATTGGTTTCCCAGATAACTTCTCTGTTAATGATTATATTGTTCCTTGCAGCGTGATTGGTAGACCAAAAGTTTTTGGGCATACTGTTTGCCAGCAGAGTGGCTTTCCTGAGTCTTTATATAGATATAGCTGAATAATAGGTAAATGAGAATTGATTTATCTCACTCCCAGTGAGATTTAGGCTGAGTATGCAAATGGACCAGGCTTTCTGAGGAGGTTGTTTTCTGCCAGAAATTGTGCAAATTTAATCTTTCTTCCATTATTTCACTACTTGGACTCTGGACCAGAATTTAAAAAAAAAAAAAAAAAAAAAAAAAAAAAAAAAACACCACACAACAAAATTAAAAAAAAAAAAAAAAAGGAAGAAAAAATAAAAAAACCATAATCAATGGGAATGTATTTGGAAAAAAAAAAGATGCAATTCCATTTTCTAAATTCAACACACACATAAACACACACACACACACCCTGTTTTTAAACTGTTTTTCCACTTGCTTTTTTGCAAGTTATGCTGCCACAGTGAAAGAGGCTGAATTGTTGTGGATGGTCCTGTGTCTCTTCTGAGTTACTGCAGAGATGTGCTTGTAGCAGTCAGGCTTGCATTTTTGATTTTCTAGTGCAATGCCCTCATAGTTCTCTTTTGATCTGTTTTCAGTGTGTTTGGAGTTCCATGGATGTCATGTGAAATCATGTACATAAGGAAATGTGTGTACACACAATGTCTTTGGTTTATAATGAGAAGCTTGGGGTTTGCCATTACTGACAATTGTGAATGTCTCCAGCAGCAGTTTCCATCCAGAGCAGGCAGCACTCTGGTTCATCACTTCTCATCCACTTTCCTCCTATCTGTCTTGGGAGGAAATATTTCTTTTTTGGTGACCCTGGGTTTTATTTCTGCCTTCACCTCACAGTGCTGTGCAGTCTTTTCAGAGAAGAGACTCACTGAAGTGCCACTGCAGTGGTGAGTTCACAGGTGACTGCGAGGGCACCCCACATTTTCTGTTTACCTTCTTGTGCAGCATTGCACAAACAGGATCAAATTTATCTGGTGGACTTTACTTGACATTACATTTCTCTGTTCAAAGGAGCAGCAACTTTTTCTTGAGCAAGTGATAAGCCCTTTGAGAGAATAGGGTATTGTATTTTTAGACTTAATGTCAGCAGCAGAAAACGTGCATTTACTTTGCATTCTTTTTAATGTACACATGAGAACAATGACATGAAAAGGCTGTACCTCTGGCCTGAAAGTCTGCTAGAACTTTTATTCCATTTGTGGGGATTTTGCACGTCTCCTCTTTCCTCTCAAAGGAGCAGTGAGCTCTTATTCTTGACACTGTTTCCCTTAAAAGTCAGGATCTAGCCCCAGAAAATAGAGGAAAATTCCAAAGACTCCACAGCTCCTTTTGTTGGTTTTCCACACTGAATCACTGAATTAAAATGTATCACAATACCCAGCCTTTAAATTGCCCTGTAATTTGTTCACTGACGGCTTTGTAGCACATCCTGCTTCTTGAAAATGGATATTTGTCACTTCTTTTAAAAGAAGCATTGTTTTTAGCATTTAATTCTGATGGAGCCAAGAAAGAAGCCACACATAACCACTGTACCCATGGCCACTCTTCCTGCACTTGGTTCAGCTCCTCAATAGACATGGCAGGAGAAAAACCCTTCTGGTGGTCATGGAAAATGCCTCTGTGAAGCCTCTTTCAGGCAACATGAGTTTCCTTTTAAGTCCTTCTCCAGGAGTGAAGGAGGCCAAGGAGCATTGTCTTGTGCTGAGAAATCATAATGCTTTTGGAAATCTGCCATCCATATTAATTCAGTTAAAGCAAAGGCTGTATCCTTCCTTTCAGACTCCTCAGAGAACATCTTGGAGAAAAAGAAGTTGAGTTGACATTGATCTTTGATGCTGTGGAGGAGGCAGATCTGGCTAACTACACGTGTCACGTGGAGAACAGAAATGGACGGAAACACGCCAGTGTTCTTCTGCGCAAAAAAGGTAATTTCCCCTTTTTTAGTTATCTGTGACCTCACCTGCCTCAGCAGCAACACATCAATCAGAGGTCCTGCTGACCTCTCTGAGCCAGGCTGGACTCCTGTGTGCCTGCTTGGAGCTGAAGTGTGCTTGTGTACAGCTTCAGTTTACCTTTTGTTGAGAAAAAAAATCATGGATTGTTCTTTGGTGTCTAGAAAATTGGCCTTGCAGGTGATACACCTGCCTGGAATACAGTCACCCATAAGGCACCAATAATCAGGGGAAGTATTTTGGACTAAAAAACCTATGAATTTGACTCAGAACTGACTGAGGTCAAATTAATTAATAATTAATTAATAAATAATAGAACAGAAATGGACGGAAACACGCCAGTGTTCTTCTGCGCAAAAAAGGTAATTTCCCCTTTTTTAGTTATCTGTGACCTCACCTGCCTCAGCAGCAACACATCAATCAGAGGTCCTGCTGACCTCTCTGAGCCAGGCTGGACTCCTGTGTGCCTGCTTGGAGCTGAAGTGTGCTTGTGTACAGCTTCAGTTTACCTTTTGTTGAGAAAAAAATCATGGATTGTTCTTTGGTGTCTAGAAAATTGGCCTTGCAGGTGATACACCTGCCTGGAATACAGTCACCCATAAGGCACCAATAATCAGGGGAAGTATTTTGGACTAAAAAACCTATGAATTTGACTCAGAACTGACTAACTAGGTCAGTTAAAACTTACATTTCTTAGAACAGGTGCCCTGGCAGTGAGGTCAGATGTTCTCTTGTTTCACTACTTCCTGGCTTTGTGTTTTAAATTGAAAACTTTAAGCTGTCTCCATGCATTTTGGTTTCTAACTGCATCAGGAATGAAGACATGCAATGAGAGCTGCAAATACATGGAGAGTTACCCCATCATGGTTGTCTTGCTTGATACTGAATGGAGTTTCTGGATGGATAACAGCACTACTGAAAGATTACCTATAGCAGAAAGGAAACTGTTTGATTTGAATGTGCCAAATTTAAAAGTGCTCCTGTGCTCTGTGTTTGAAAAAGTCACTATCAAGGGAGTGTAACAGTATCTCATGGCAGCTCTTTCGTTGTTTGTTCAATCAGCTCTCTTATTCATAAGTGGGCTGACATTTAGATTGGATGCTGGTCTCTCTGAGATGCAGTGTATTAGGAAACATAAAAGCTGTAAGACAGTAATTGTTGGGAAAGCAAAGGAAGGTTCCACCCTTGGGGAAAAGCTGTTATGTGAAACCACAGAACATCAGCGCAGGAGATTGATTCAAGAGTTGATACAGTATCCAGACCTCTGCCATTGCTCTTGGATGTAAATTATTTTGCCAAAACAGGAGAATAAGAATTATTTTCATGAGGCAAACCTGAAAGGGCAGCTCCAGTCCTTTGTGTGCTTTCACTGTGGCAAAGTTGGAATAAAGGAATGTTGATCCAGCAGATCATTCTACTATCTACTACAAACTTCCATGCAGGGGGGCTCTGCAGAGGGATCGGGACTGGCTGGGTCCATGGGCTGGGGCCAGTTGTGTGAGGCTCCACAGGGCCAAGTGCTTGGTCCTGCTCCTGGCTCACAACAAGCTCCAGGCTGGGGCAGAGGAGCTGGAAGGCTGCCAGGTGGCAAAGGATGTGGCCATGCTGGAGTCACCATCCCTGCAGGGATTTGAAAGCCATCCTCATGGACATGGTTTAGTGGTGGGCTCAGCAGTGCTGGGTTAATGCCTTGACTCAACACATCTGGGAAGTGTTTTCCAACCAAAACAATTCTACAGTTCTGTGATCTAAACTGACAGGTTGTCACAGCTTTAATTAAGGAATCTGGTCATCATGATGAAGGATTAGTGTCTAGTGCAAAAAGCATTCTACCTTTCCTCCCACTGAACCTCATAAATATACAACTGATAGTAAGTATATCTCTTTGGCACTGGTAAATGTTCTGCTGTGTGCATATAGTAGAATAACAAGCTCGATTTATTTATAAAAAATGCAGATATTTCAGAGCTCTGCTGGAATTATGGAAGAAGCACTGCTGAATACAGAATTTGGAGGTGGAAAGGATCACTTTGCAGCTACTATTTCATTTCTCTCTGCACTGTGGCTGTAGAAAACTTATATTCCCCTCAGGCACTCTCAGTAGTTGATTTCCAGGCTATTAAAGTGTCATTTAAAATAACCACTGTATTTTACTGTGTCCTTTGACTGCCTGTCCTATTGTCCTGTTTGTTATTTATTAAGTCCTCACAAATACTTGACCAAACTTTTCCTTTCTGCAACTTGATTTAATTGCTTCTTGTCCTAACTTTCTCCAGCTTAGATTTTACTGTAGATATTCATGAGTCAGGAAATACTACTGTTTTTACTGAGCTGGGACAAGATTTAGGGCAGGACTTGCAGAAAGCTGTTGACCAGCATCCTTTGTGTGTGTCAAAAAAGGGATTTCTATTGCAATGTGCTGCAGCACAGATCTCTCAGTCAGAGAAATCCCCCTCCCTGCAGTCTTACCTCTTAAGAGCTGCATTATCCGTGTTTGACAAGAGGCACTTGTAGCTCTGTTTTGTCTCCAGACCTGCCCGCTGTTCTGGTTTTTTCTGGCTTGGATGAAAAACAGGAATAAACCCAAAATCTAAATTGTAGATGTTGTATAAGATTTTCTAGAGTTCTTGTTGTGACATCAGATGGTTATTTTTAGCACATAATTTGCTTTGAAAAAAAGGCAAAATTAGCTTTTCAAGTGTTTCAGGGGAAATACATTAGTGACTGTATTAGTGATACAGTCCCCACAAACCCTCAGGAGAATACAGGAGTGGCTTTTTGCACAGCTCAAGTGTAGCAATAGCCCCAGAAGCACGTGCCATCATTTAGAATTATTTTTATTGTTTGGAGTTTTCACCTGAAAAAGAACCAAATCAAGTTTCAAACCCAAAGCTACCAATGCAAAGGCAGAGTCAGAGATGCTCCTAAGACCTGAACACAAGTGTCTGCTGTCACATTCTTCTTTACTGACTTAGTTCAAGACCACATTGTTACTTGCTTTCAAGCAGTTCAGAAATAAGTTCTGGACAATCCTGGGTTTGGTTTGCTTTTATTTTTTTTTTCCCTCCATGCTGTCCTAACATATTTGCTGCTCAAATAACATGGAAATGCAATATACACCCAGTTGTCCCTTAGTTGTGGAAATAGTTCAGGATTTCCTTCAAAAGGGTTTGAAAACAGTTCAGTATTGAGTGACTGGAGTCTACATAGTCTATAATATAACTGATCTGAAATATGAATAACTTGTCAGAAACCGCAGAGTAAAGCCAGACCATGCTTTTAGTGGCAAGAAGTAGTGAATTGAGATAAAAGTAAATATTATGATGACTTTTCCTCATGTTTTTTTTTTAAAGAGGCTGCCTTTAATTAAGACATTAAGGAACCAATTTTAGGGAGGGGGGTGAGTTTGATACTGATACATCACTAAATTATGAGGAACTTCTAAATTATGAGGAACTTCTAAAATTGTCTCTCACTTATCGGGTATTTATGAGACTTTTGCTATTTTAAAGACCATGATCCTCTGAAATATGTGTAATGTGTTGTGGTAAGGTCCTTCTACATTATTTTGTATTAGAAACTATCAGTATTGTTATTTGCTATTTTTCACTCTTATGGCACAGAGATCAGATTCAGCTTCTTTTCCAGTGTTGGATATGCTGCTTCCTATTTGTCTCAGTGAGGACCACTTGAGGAGGAAGGAATTAATCAGATGCCAAGGCTAAGTAGAGTAGGCAAGAAAATTGAACATCCTGGGTTTTTCTCATTGCCTCCACTTTGGAATGGAAATAAGGAGAGCTCAAAAGCCTCAGCTTTTCCCGCCTTATGTCTGTACTCTAGGAGAGTTCATGGGGCAGAAGGATATATACTGGACATGCAAAAGCTGATCAATTTTGCCTTTCAAGATGGATTTTGTGGATTTGCTTAATACCCTGCTATTCCCCCCACCAAAGTGGGCACAGCTCTGTGCTCCTGTGTGGGCTGCAAGGCTCAGCATTGTCTTTCCTTCCAAGCTGGCAGTTTTGCCATCATCTCCATTTCCTAGCAGAAAAGACTCAGTACAATTGAAAAAAAAAAAAAAAATCCCCTCAAAAGTGATTTTAACCAACTCTACTCTCCATTTCCCTAGATTTATCCCCCAGAGGATGCAGGCTTTATCATGCCGTGTAGTAAAAGTCCCATGAATTCCCTGTGTTCTCAGAGAGATTAAATAGCTATTATAATAGACTTTTTCCATCTATTAGTCCATGACTTCATGCCAGACAGACATCAGAGATACTGTAAACTGGGAATAGCTTGACATCTGATGTTAATTATTGAAATAGAAGGCATAGTGAGGCAAAAATAACCCCCAAAGATACACAGCTAATTTGCTTTTTATCTTGAAAGTGACACAAATGACATATGAGTAATTTTTTTCTGACCTAAGTTTTAGAAGCATAAGGATCACAAGAACTTTGTCCCGGCTGTGTGAGTTTGGAAACTTCTCTCTGTGTTTGTCACAGCAGCAAATATCTTCATGACGTCTTATCTGAACCAGTACAGGCTGGGAGAGTCAAATTGTCATCCTCTGTCTTTTATGGCTAAGTAATATGCCAGGTGGTGTTAGGAGCAATATTGCTCTCAGAGGACATTTCAGGATAAAGAGCAATGCTGTTCAAGTTAGTCCCTTGCATCAGATGGAGCTCTGGACTGGTATCCAAGGGGTTTATCCCATTTTGTCTTTGGTTTGCTGAATGACCTTGAACATGCTGCTTCTCTTTCCTAAGCCTGTTTCCCCAGCTGTAAAAGATGGATCACTGTGTCTGGATGCATTTGTGAAGTTCTTTGAGCTCTTGTGATGTTTCCTAACAAAAGCATCTGAGTAGAAAATTTTAGCTAACACTAGGTCCCATTAAAGTATGGTGTGAACTCTACAAATACGTAAGAACTCTGTTAGCAGCCATGACAAACAAAGTGGCTCTTTGCAGCCTGATGTCTCCTGGCTTCTTGTGTTATCTTCGGCTTCCTGCAAGCTCAATTCATTTTCCAGGGATCCAGCTGAAGCCCTGGATTGGCAGCTCACATCAGCTTGTCCACAGGCTTCACAAATAGAAAACCAAAGCTGTCTAATTTGGAGGGGATGGGACCAGACCCTGCCCAATCTGTCCTCACAAGCTGCACACAGCATTTGATGCACTCTGCCAGGGCAGAAGTTTCAAACTCCACCAGCTCATTAAAAGTTGGTTACTCCTCTGTGTAAAATCACTAGTTCTTGCGTAGGAGATTTACATGTGTAGCCTCAAATGCATTCTGGATTTCAGATGGTTATTTCAGATGAGCAGTAGATGGACTAAATGAGTAAAATTAAGGAATAGGCAATGGACAAAATTATTAGGCATTTTTAATGTTGTGGTGGTTGTAATTGGAAGTTGCACAATTTTATGTGGAATTGTACTGTGGATTAGAGAAAATACAGCTTGGAAAGATCATAACCTTTTTGCCTTTCCTTGCTAATTTTAGATTTGATCTACAAAATAGAACTTGCTGGAGGACTGGGAGCCATCCTTCTTCTGCTTATTTTGCTCGTGACCATCTATAAGTGCTACAACATAGAGTTAATGCTGTTCTACAGACAGAACTTTGGAGGAGATGAAGCAGCTGATGGTAAGCAGTTGCACAGGAAACTCAATATATGCAATGGAAGTATTTCAGAGACCCAAAGTGGTGAGGTAGAAATTAATCCTAAAAGATACCTGCTGCTAGTTTAAACTACTAAGCACCCAACAGTGTAAAGCCCTAAGACTTTCTCCCAAAGCCCCCTGAGATCGATGAGTCTTTCCACAGAAATGTCACTGCTCTGCCATGAGCAAAAGGGAGCCAGGAGAATTGTTCATGAGTCTGCTACAGAGGCTCACGTGTCATTTGTGAACTCTTCATCTTCATGTGCCAGATGCCAGGGGTCATCCTTGTGGGTCCCTTCCAGCTCAGAATACTTTGTGATTCTTTGTGATAAATAGCAGGAATAGAGAACAGGAAAGTTGCTTTTTCTCAATCCTCATGTATGACTGGGAAAAAACTAAAATTATGATTTTTCCGTACTCTACGATACTGCACAATATTTACACTGGTACTTAGGATAAAGAGAAGGGTGAGATTATGTGGTTTGAGAAGTACTTTACCTGGTTAAAACACCTTGGGATTATACCAACATAATATCCCTGCTTCACACCAACCAAAAGTGGTAACTTCCTTCAGCCTGCTTCAGTTTTTTTGTCCTGTGTTTTCAGCATGAAACTGCTGCATTTTTACTCATACAACTTCCTTGGTTCAATCACTTTTTAATTTATGAAACCATATTATTTTCTGGTTGTTTAGAGGAAGCCCTATGAGTACATAGGAGATTTTGTCTGGCTATACATTTTGAAAACAACCTCGTATTTTCCCAGTGCATAATTGTAGACCTTTATGCTTTATGTCTTGTTCTGATCCTGCAGGATGAAAGATGGAGGCAGAATGTTACAGAAGTCAAAGCATATATGGGGATGTTTGTTTCTTCTCATGCAGGGGGAGCCTACAGAGCTCCTGTGAGCACTCAGCTGTATGAATGCAATCACAGGGTCATTTTCCACTTGTATGTGTATTTCTTTAAAAAAGAAGATTTGGAACTCAACAGATCTGCTTTATTCCTATTTCTAAAAATACCCCACATAAGCAATGCTGGACACACTCACTTCCTGTGTTGTGTGTAGCATTTGCTTTTAGAGAAAATGACACTGAGGATTAAAGGATCCATTAGGAAATGGCTCCAAACAGTGCTGCTCCCAGAGCCAGCAGTGGGTGAGTGTGGGCAGTTCCTTCTTCTCTGCCCTGGTGCTGGAAGCTCGTGGGGAGCCAGCAGAGGCTGCACCACCACTGCCCGAGCTGGCAGCAGCCCGAGGGAGCTGCCTCTGTCAGCATCCTGCGGGCTGGCACTGTGGGCTGAGGTGCCTGGGCAGGGCAGCCGTGCCCCTGCAGGGGCGGGGGGCTCAGGGACCCTGGTGCTCTGCAGCTCCCACACCTGTGCAGGGATGCTGCCTCCAGGATCGCTGGCATCTCTTAAAAGGTTTTGGCAGGCTTCCTTATGGACAGGGTGGCGGGTTTTGGATAGGCCTCCGAAGCTGGCTGGCCTGTTGACTTCAGAGAAATGTCAGCAAGCCAGGTGGACATCTTCCATCGACCCCTACAGCCATGGTGACACCAGGCAAATTGCCTTTTACAGATATGTAATTATTCACATGCTTTGACTACAGCTCTGACCCTCATGGGTCTGGCTTTGTGTCAGGAATTATAAGTAACCATCAGTTCAAGGTCATAAAGAGATATATTTTATTGTGATTAGGTATTTGTTCTTTTTATCAGAATATAAGGAGGAATATAATTGAGGAATTTTAACTGCTTTAATTATCTTTCATGTGCACTATTCTTTACAGATAATTGGTACTCAGAAACCCTCCATTCATGCAGTTTTCTTCTCACAACATTAACTATTTGATTTTTCATTTTCTGTAAATAATGGCAGCTGGGCTCTTCCCTTGAGGCTGAATTGCTGAAGGTTGACTTTTTCAATATACTGTTTTCCATTACTGCAGAGGAACACAAAGAGAAATGTCACTAAGACAGTCTGATCCCAGCATGGGTCCCCAGCTCTGTGGTGGCACCACTTCTGTTCCTGGCACACTCATGAGCTCTTAGCTCCATATTTCAGAAGCAGAGCTGGAGACAAGCCCCAGTGCTGGGCAGGAGGAGGAGGAGGAATGTTGCCCTTTATGGGAGTTATTTGTCTCTCTTATAATGTGATCCCCAAGTATTTAAAATCTTCTGGATCAAGTGGATTGTGTTCCAAAATTATAATATTGATTTTTAAAACTATGGGATTTTCTGGGAAAAAAAAAAAAAAAAAAAAAAAAAAGCTTTGAACTGTTTGTATTTGGCATTGTTTTCTGAATAGTCAGTATTCATTTGAATTAAGTCATGTCTTTTCTCACAATTACTTACGGAAGGAAATTCTCCTTGTTCAAAACTTTTCCAGGCTGAAAACTTTAACGTACTCCTAGAACTCTTGAGGAATAGAAGTTTAAAGGATTGCATTACAAATATGCAAAGGTTAAAATAAAAGTTTCAACTTTAGTATTTGTATGAAAATTTTGCCTATGATGTTTTCAGCTGTGGCACATGTATGACCACATGGAGCAGAGTTACTGCTCAGCATGCAGAAGAAAACTAAAAGGATCCATGAGATTTCTGCCTGGAAGCCAGATTATGTGTTCCTGTGAAAAGTCCCCATTTTGTTGGGAAATGCTTGGTGGTTTCAAAGAAAAATATAATTTCCCAGTACTCTCCTGTGTTCCTTAAGAGTGTTCTTGCAAACAGCAGGCTGAACATGATTTGTTTTCTTACAGACAGCAAAGAATATGATGCTTATCTTTCATACACCAAAGTGGATCCTGATGCATTAGATCGTGATAATAACGAAGAGGAGCAGTTTGCACTTGAAATTCTGCCAGATGTTCTAGAAAAGCACTATGGATATAAGCTCTTCATTCCAGATAGGGACCTGATCCCTAGTGGAAGTAAGTATTTCTGACATTTTAGTTTAACTTCTGTCTGATGTGTCACAAAGGCCTGGACTGTATGATAAGGACCAGATATGGAAAACCTTGAGAAGTGGTTGCAAAGATTGGAAAAGCTTCCTCAGCACTGCAAATTTGAGTTCTCTGTTAGAGCTTGTTCCTGCACTGCTGAAATCAGAGGGAATTTCCATTGAAATCAATTTGCCATTGATTTCAGTGGGAGCAGGAGCTGGACCTTCCTACAGGGAAGGCTGCAGCACTGCAAGCAATACCAAGTCCAAAATGCCTACATCAAACACAGGTAACTAAGCAGGAAACTTTCCAAAAGGATTTTATCATCTCTGTTACATGATTGAAAATGGGATTATTATTATTTTCAGTGATTAGTTGTTTTCTCTGCAGCAGCTTTACAAGTAAAAGTCATCTTTTCTATTGTCTTTTGGGTTTTTCCTTAACTTGGAAGTCTAATAAGATTCAGCAGCACCTTTGGATGTCTCTACCTAAGGTCAATGCTTTCCTAGTGGTAGTTATGGCATTTCTTCTACCAGACTAATTTTTGAGCAAGTCAAAAAGACCACAAATCATATCCATTGTGTTGATAAATTCTGAATGCATAGTATGTTTGCTTTAATATCACATTTATTTGAAGTGCTACCCTTGTGAAAAATCAGCTTTTTTATTTTTACAAATTCCATCTCCAAATCACTTCCATTAAAACAATAGAAGAGAACATGAACTTCTCTCTTTATGTGCTGCTGTGTAGGAAATATGAACAAGAGAAGAAAGCAGTGGCTGTAGTGGAGCAGATGTCTCCAAACATGGAATAGCTCGAGCAGAGCTGCATTACAACCTGCCTGCCAAAAGACTTGGAACTGCTGCCTCACTGTGCCAAGTGCCAGTGCCTGACCCAGGAGTCAGAGCCTGTTTCTTCTCTGACCTTTGAGAGCACTGGAAACAGAGCTCTGAACCCTTTAGCACTGGGAAAGAGGAGTCAGAGCCTCACCAGAGATCATGAAAGGCCTTGCAGGGGCTTGAATTTATCACAAGCATTTTCAGCTCTTAGTTTAGAGCTGATTCGCTTTTTCTTTTTGCCTCTGCAAGGTGCAAGTTTTTCTCCCATAGTGAGAAATTACAGAAAGGGGACTTGGCTCATAGCTTTCTTATTTCTTACAGTACAAGCAAATTATATAAAATGTTTAGATATTATTAAGAGAAAATACATCTTTCTGCAATAAAAACCACAGAATTGTTGTAACTAGTTGTTTTATAGCCAACGATATAGCAAAGTACACATAGCAATTCTGCAAGTGAACTAAGAAGTTTAAAGTTAACTCTTAAATAATAATATGCTGAAGCACAGATTCGTCTGAAATAAGATTCTTTTTTCCAATTGTTGTTCCAGCCAGCATGGTATTTTATTTTTGTCTATTTTTGTCAGCAAGGCACTCAGCAAATACTTGCCATCACTTTGGGTATTCATTAAACCTCTCCTGAAAATGTAGGGTACCTGAAAATGTCAGTTCTCATTTATGAACATTCACAGATTTAATCCTTCTTCTCTCCTCTCAAACTCACTTCTTCAGTGTTATGAAAAGGCCTGATTCTAACACATGGAGCTTCAAGAACGCCTAATCAGACATAATGACAAGGCAGAATAAATTGTGGAGCTGAAATGAGTGTGATTTGCATGCTTTAGCTCTGAAAAAGATATGGGGGAAAGCACTTTATTTCAAGAGGGGCTAGAGGGAGGGTGAGGGGATGGGGAAGGAGGGAAGACTCAGCCTCCTGCATTTGTGAGTTCTCCGTGTGCCCTGGAGCAGGGGAACGTGCCTGTGTTCTGCCTAATACTCCCCACTCTCGCAAGGACTTGCAGTGCTTACTGAAGGCAGTGTGATGTGGAATGGGCCTGCTAGAAACTTCAGAGGAAAACATAGCATGGTTTAGAGTGGCTGTCTCAAAAAGTGGCAGATGTGACAAAATATAAAACTCTCCAGGGCAGATTTCTGTAGAAAAATGGAGGGTTGATCACAGCTATCGTTTTATTTTAGAAAATATCTCTTCTCACATGTTTCACTTCCTCATCTTTCAGGGTAAATTACTTTCATCAATGTAATCGTTTCCCACTCTCTGCTCTGATGTGTGTCCTTCTGTATCCTGTGTACCTTGGCGTGTGTCACCCCAGCAGTGCGGCCAGGAGCTGCGTACGGCTGGTGCTTCCTGCAATCCCTGCAGTTGTGAGGAGCTGCCACGGGAGGGTGTGCACCATTCGCTTCCTTCCTGGCATACAGCAGCTCCTACAGCTGCTCCCTGCATTTGAGAGCAAGCAAAAAATAGATTTGTCAAATACTATTTCATTAATTTTCTTGCGTAGTTCTGCAAACAACCTAAAAAGCTGACTTGGGGAAAATTCAGGGACAAGTTTGATTGTGTTTTTGTCCAGCTGGCTCATTGCTAACCTCTGGGGGAAAGCTGTGAATGGCTCTGCATGTCCCTGTGCAGCCTGGGGAGAGATTACAGCCAGATGTGCTGTGCCTGGGACGTGTCCAAGCTCTGCTTTCAGCTCTGTGTCTGATTCAGGGATATCCATGGAGCAACTGCTGCTGTCCCCAGGAGGACAGAGGTGCTGGCTGTGGGGACTGAGACCACCTCTTCACCACGGGGAAGCAAGTCCCAGGGTTCAGGTCAGATGGGGCAGAGTCATGTTTTGCAGTAGGTGTTGGTTCTGAGCCCTGCTGGGATACAAATTTTATCCCAGTAGAGCGTTCTGTCCCAGTGGGAGGGAGAAGCACCATGAAGGATGCCAATGGCCTCAGCAATGCCCATTGTCACACAGTGGCCAGCAGGGACCTTTGTGATCACTCTTGGTGCTGCCTGAGAGCAGCGTGGATGGATCCAACTCCCTGAGCTGGCAAGATGGAACAGAATCCCACACAGCTGTGGGAGGCAAGAGTGGTGACCCAGCAGGGAGACATGGCAATGGAGACCGAGCTTGTAACCCAGGAGATGACTTGCATGTTATAGCAAGTACTGTAGCAGCTATTCTGTCTTAAAGAATGCTCTTTGGTCTTAGCAGAATGAGTGTTCTTCATTCTGTTGAAGCTGACAGCACACACACCTCCCTGCCAGGTAACTTTGGTGTAATTGGACACATTACCCTGCATAAGGAGACTGGGATCCCTGAGATGCACTTGCACTTCTTACTGAATTCCTGAGCAGTTCTCATTATTTTCACCCTATTCATTTTCAGGACTCTTTTAACAAACCCTTTCCCACAACAAACATTCTAGTTCTGTGAGATTTTTCAATTCAGGGTTAGGAGACCTGAGGAGATTGAGTAGTTGGTGCGGGGTTAACAGGACGAGTTGTGTTTTCACCTAAGCCATTTTTTTGTCTTGCCAAGGATGATGTCTGCAGTGAAAAATATCTGTTTGCACTTTACTCTTCTAAAATCAGGACTACATCAGAGGAAGGTACTTTTCTCCATGGTTTCTGAAAATTATTTTAAAACCTGAAAGTCAAGAGGTAAAAATTGTCAAGTTGGACTTTTAATACTAGCAATACATATCTATTAGAGCATCACCTAGTTGCTCTCTAAGAATGTGTGCATTTGGTCTTGACAGAATTGAGAAAACACCAACAATTCATTCCAGCTCAGCCCAGGGTATGAAGATTAGGCAGTGAAAAGAACAATGGTGATGGAATAAAAATACTTGTTTACCTGAAAAATGAGAAGTTCTCAGCACAAGGAGCAAATGTCTACGTCATGTGATAAAAGCACACAACAGTGAATATTGTAGTTCTGGCACTTTCTAGTTTTGTCTGCCTATCTGTGTGGTTTTTGCCTGGGGAATTCCAGCTTCCTGGGCTCCTACATGAAGAAAACCCGTCTGGACCATGTGTCTGGAGTTCCCAAGGTACCTTAGTTAAATAGGATACCATTCCTTTGGTATTCAGCTCCACAAACTCCTTTCAGGAGTCCCTGGTTGTCTGCCCTGTGTGAATCTTACTTTTAATGTCAGGCATGGGTGAGGATAGCAGGGATACACATGGATGACAGCTGAAAGAGGAATAAATATGGACAAAAGGCAGAAGGGCTGCCTGTCCTATAGTGCACTAATCTGCATTATTTGTTTCTTTATGTTAAACTCATCAGCTGTCCCTCAGCTCATCCTGGGATTGGGCTCCGTCCAGGAAGGGGCCATTACTCTGCTTTGTGTTTCAGCTGATCTGGTCCAAGCTAAGAGAAGCAATACACATTTAATAAATAGGAAAAGCAAGACACAAAATCATTGGTATTATAATAAAGTAATCAGACTCAGGGTTTGGGAACTATTCAGCTAGGAAACCAGGACTGAATTACTCTTTTATAAATAACTTTCTCAAGTGATGGTCACACTGCCAAACACAGAAAGGCTGGTTATTTTCAGAGTGCCAGGAACCAACCAGCATGGGTTTGATGGTAGATACTCTTTGGTTCTCGTAGTGCTGCAAACCATGTTTCCCAAAAATATCCATAGGATTTTATGTGATTTCTAGTGGTTTTTTTTCCTTCTCCCTCAACTCCTGCAAATCATCTAAATCTGGTTAGTCAGTCATTTCTTTGTGTAAGCAACTCTGTGCTCATAGTGTTCATTAATTTCCTTGCTTCTAGTCTGCTTGCATTTTAGGTTTCCCTCTAGCCTGTGGTTAGTGTAGCTCATTAAGGATTCCATAGGCAGTTACACATGATTTAATTGCAAACGGGATTCATTTCTTGAAATTCTCTCCTTCAGTGCTCCAAACTCCAGTTCAGCATTGTTACATGTAGACAGTGTTTGGTGAGCACATACTTGCTGTCAAGACAAATTTGCTTGCCATTTGTTGGCAAGACTAAAACAATGTTTGGGTTTGGGTACAACACATCTTGCTGTCCATTCTTCCTTGGGCATTGCATTGAACATGATGCAAGTCAGTTACTGATAGAGCCACTCACAATGTTTTTTTTTGTTTTGGCTTTTTTTACCTATGAGAATTGCTAACATTTTGGGAAGAGCTTTGTACCATAGTGCAAAATATGTTTCCAGGAGGGGGAAAACGGTCAAAATTTAAAATGTGTTTTTTCAGTAGAAACAAGTGGGTTCGATCTAACATTGACATCTTAGTTTCACATTCTAATTTATGATAAAATACAATCCCTGGGACTAAAAGGTGAATAATTCCATACTGACTTTGCCAAGACAATGTTTTTTTCTCCCCTTACAATGAAATATCATTGAAGTTGACACCTCCTGCAGCAAAAGCAAAGTTACAGTGAAAATATATTTATCTGATGGAACTATGTTGTTCTGGAGCTTTACAGTTGATACTAGTTGGTGACATTATTCCTGAAGTCCCTATTCAGTTTTTTTCTTGCAGATGAAACAGAGCCATTGCCTGACAATAATTTCTTAGCTCACTGGAAAGGTGAAAGCAGCCCTTTCTTCCTCTCACATTGCAATATAGATTCCTTGGATTTGTAACCTTCTAATGGAGTTAACACTTGAGACAGACAACTGAACCTGTGAGATTTTGGGAAGTCTCCAATTCTAAAATAAAAGGAGAGCAGATGATTTAGCAACTCAGAGATTTATGCGGTCAGATTGGTACCACTGGGAAAAATAAAGCTGGAAATTCCAGGGACAGGAATCTGTCTCCCCATGCTTTTCTTCACAGAAATGTTCAAGTGGTGCAAATTTGACGTACTGTGGAGTGCACCCAGTGGAGCCACAGGCTCCAGGAAAATTGCCACCTGCCTTCAGTAGTAGTCCCAAGCTGGAGTTAGTGGAGTACTAAGTACTTCTGGACCACATGGCTGGAAGTTTGGGGTTCCAGTTTCTCGTAGCTCAGTGTACTTTACCCTCAGTGCATTAACAAGTCCCCTGTTCATTGGCCATGTCCACCAGTGACCAGCTCCAAACGTGGAATTTGAGGGATTGCCTCAAGACCATTTGTGAAGGTGTTCATTACCCAGCTGAGGACAGAGCTCTAACGTATAGCAATACCCAGTAGGGAAGGTGGGCATCCAAAAGAGACATGAGAAGCACAGAGGAGAGAAATTTTCACCCAAGAAAATAGGGAATTTCTCCCATCTTCTTTCCACCCTGTTTGCCCAATGCAAAGGCTGACAACTCTTTGATTGCGATGGGGTGGATTATTGCTGGGGTGTCAGTACTGAAATGATTGGTGCTGGATATTTGAAGAGATGAAAGTGAAGAGATTTTTTTGTTTTGTTGGTTTGTGTTTTTTCTCAGTTGGATGCATTTGGATATGCATGGCCATACTCAGCACTACTCTGGACATATGGTACTGCCCAGTATTGTGTCCTGCAGGGAATTGTCTTGTGCATAGCAGTGTTCTGAGTGTTTGGAGGAGGGATGAATATGTCTCAGGAAAGACGCATGATAGTTTGTTGTTTTACTGTATCTTGCAGATTCAACCTCTAATGATGAAGCTTCCCACCTAAATTCTTTCTTTTTGGGAGCAGAAAGAAAGGAAGAAAATGAAGAGTCTGAGCTGTTGATACATTGGGATAATATCTTTCCATTGTATTGAACATTTCTACCTTTCCTTAAGTTTTGTTTCACCAGTTCTGCTTATCATTTTCTCATTGTTGCTGATTCTCTCCCCGCTCCACTGCCTCTCCCATGGATTTTAATGTTGAATTTTTTTCATTAATGAGTAACTATTTTACACAGAACAATGGGGGGGGGGGGGGGTTTCCTCATAAAGTATTTCAAGAAACAAAAAACAAAAACAACTGTAAATGCTGCATGATTAAAAAGTCATAAACCATTAACTAAAAGTCAGGATTGTTGCATAGACATTTGTAATGTATGTGTATGTCTTAAATTTTCGTGTGTCTGTGGGATGTTTGCAATTGCCTCTTTTTTCCATTTGTGAAAGAAATTCTTCTTGCTGCTAAGTGGTGAAATAAAACATTGGTAAAGGCAGATTTGATGCTAACTATGCCTTCAGTCTCATGAAAATAAGCTATTTTAGAATGTTCCTGTTGGCCTATTTTGTAGCAATTTACTTTACTGGAAGTGGTGGTAATGAATAAGCATGCTGTGGTATGGTGCCTGGGCTATAAAATGAGTCTTGCAGTACCAGATGTTGATTAATGATGTTATTTGTAATTATTGTTCTTCTAGAGGGCAGATGTGTAAGAGAGGTCCTGCCCTGTGCTGAGTAAAGATCTGTTCTGTGCAGCTCTTGTGTCCAAGTCTTCATTTCTAACACGTGCTTCTCCTCTGTGGTCAGGCGGCACATTCCCAGTAGCATGGTCAAGAGGTTCATGTAGTTTGAAAACACAAAGATATCCTGTCTCAAAGCTTGCAGTTGTAATGCTGTGCAACCAATGGACATTTTCTGCCCTTAGTGGTTTTGTTCAAGGGATTTAATTTTTCTGGTTTTGACCTAAAACCCATTGAAGTTTGTGGAATGAAGTCTGTTCATTTGAATGGGTTTTGGATCAGGTCTGTAAGTAGATCTCTTTCCCATCCTGTTCCATGTCAGACCAGTGTATTTGGCTTCTCTTCCCTGCCATCCCTGGGATAAGTGAAACTCAGGGATCAAAGTCCAACTTCACAAATATTTTGAAGTTCAGTAAACTGGCATCATGGAGCTGCTGATGGGGCTGGCATTTCTGCTTACACTGATCAGTTGCAACTACTTGGCATGCATGAATAAAACAATTCTACTATTTTCTTTGTCACTGATGTCTCAACAAATAAATACTTCCAATATGTTTAAATTTTCCATTTGTTCCTGTCACTTGTGAAGTCTCTGTTAATACCTTGGGGTACATAGAAGCACAGGTTTGTGATATCAAAACAGACCACTGAGCCACAAAGAATGTTCTTATGTTTTTGTGGTCAATACCTAAAGAAGAAAAAGCTACCATGATGCTTCTATGCAATAACACAAGTTCTGCATGTGATGAGGGTTCATTTCTTTTTGAGCTTTTGCAAGTTATGGTTCATACAGCCTGCAGCACCCTCATGTCTTTGCATCTGGAACACGGGAACCACTCCACAGAGCCTGCTTCCCTCAGCACAGTGTTAATCATGACCAATGTTAATGTTAGAATTTACACAAACATTGCATTGATTTCAACCTATATTTTGTTCACTAAGTGAAATGTGTGTTTGTATTCACTAATGCACCTACACAGCAAGGGTGTTATGTAAATGTCATCCTGCTGCAATGAACAGGGTGAAATAGCAAAGGATGGAGGGTGTTATTAAGGAGTTTCCTATGTGTACTCCATAAATAGAAATATTTTGTGATACACAATCCTATTTTTGTTGGAGTATATTGAAATGCCCATTGTTTTAAATGGTGTGGATCAGTAAAATGCAGGATTTTGTTATACTTGATTGCAAGCCTGATGTTTTAATACAATAGACTTCTTTATTCTTTACTCTTTCTCTCTTTCTATAATTTGTAGCCTACATTGAAGATCTCACAAGATGTGTTGAGCAAAGCAGAAGACTCATTATCGTGTTAACTCCAGACTATGTTCTCAGGAGAGGATGGAGTATTTTTGAGATGGAAAACAGACTCCATAACATGCTAGTCAGTGGAGAAATCAAAGTTATTTTGATTGAGTGTACTGAATTAAAAGGGAAGGTGAATTATCATGAAGTGGAATCATTAAAGCACACCATCAAACTTCTCTCAGTGGTCAAGTGGAAAGGACCAAAAAGCAGCAAACTGAATTCTAAGTTTTGGAAGCGCCTAGTCTTTGAAATGCCAGGGAAGAAAAAGGAGGTGGTGTCTCGGCATCAGGTCCTGGATTCTGCAGAGCAGGGCCTCTTTGGAGACCTCCAGACTGTGCCCTCTCTTGCCGTCACGGGCACTTCTGCCACGCTGGTGGAGTCGCGGGCGGGTTTGGGCGGTTTCCAGCCGGCAGACTCCGCGCACACGAGGCACTACTGCCGCGGCTACGAGTGCGACGTGTCGGCGGCCACGCTGCCCCTGGCCTCCGTCAGCAACCACCACACGTACTGTAACATCCCCCTGGCACTCCTCAACGGACAGCTACCTCTCAACAACGCCGTCAAGGACCCCCAGGAGTTCCACAGGAACAGCCCCTTGCTACCTTTGTCGGCCAAGGAGCTCAGCTTCACCAGTGATATCTGGTAGAACATCAGGGCTCTTTGGAGATGCTTCATGGACACCATGAAGAGACGCCTGTAAAGAACTTTGCCCTGCCCGCATGGGGTGAGAAAACCTATTCAGAGCAGCAGCACACTTGTTTGCTTTTCTACTTGAACTTTTTTTGTTTACATTTACAAATTATTGACGAAGGGGGCATTCTTTTGTAACTCGGTAATGTCCTTCCTGTCTTTTAATGTACAGTTTTATTGCTTCTTTAAAAAGGAGGGGGGAGAGAAAAATGCATCCCATCACTTCACCGTAGGTTTGCAATCTGGGATGGATAAAAGGTCACTGGGTACGATCTCCAACATCCATCCATATTTAAGTAACAGTATTTGGAATACACAGAATTTGTTGGGTTTTTCATATAGACTACAGTACAGTTTGAAATTCTAATCATGCTACAAAAATTAGTATCTCCTGCACAGACCACAGGGGGTGAATATCTTAGAAAGGAAGGAGAAGGAAACCTTCCTGGTAACATTGTCTTGCAAATACTTCTTAGAAGATGCCCAGCTGAAACAATGCAGATGAAGCTTTATCAATAAAGAGCATAGTAACAGTTACTACAAAATAAATCACCTGCTCCCATCAGCATCTCTTCATTTTATTATTGAGGCATGTTGTATTCCTAGTCAATGGTTAGCAATGTGGTTTTATTAAACAACTTACTAGAATGCTGGAAGATGTTTAGGAGGATTTTAAACAATTTTTCTGTCAACTACAGATTATTTCACAATTTTTTGCAGATTTTTAATGACTTTTTCCGAACAGTTTAAGTATAAATTTAGCTGTCTATTGGCCAATTCATTAATCTGAAATTTCTTAAGATCTAAGATTTGTAGTAAAGTAATTTTGTGTAGGATTTTTTTTCCAAAACCAGTAGTTACAATTTGAAATGAACCTTTTTTTGTGAGAACATCAGCAATAGAAAACTACAGCAATATTCAGAGATTAAGTGCTGAATTATTCAGGTTAACTATGAAGTCTGACTTCCGTTGCAGTGATAATCACCTGAAACAGTTTTCTCTCTTGTTTATCTACCTGCCAAGTTATGTACCTTTTATATATGGCAGAAGCAGGAATATTTCTGCTCTCTGTGTAACTAGTGAAAAGTGATATTTTTAAGCAACTGGCAAGGTCTTGCATTTCACACTTGTGTGAGTGATGCCATCAGTCAAATAGGATCCTGTCATTTAGCATTCCTGCTGCTGGTGGGTGAGAATTGTTGCACAGGTGCTGAGCATCAGGCATTGCTGCTCAGCCAGTACCAGGCTGGTTCATGGAGATTTCCACACTCAGCTGGGTAAGGGTTGCAGAGTCAGGCTATGGAGACAACTCCATTAAAGGAAAAAGCTCTAAATCATGAAGGCAAAAGCCAGTTTTGCAGGTTATGGCATGGCTGTAATGAAAACACAGCAGACATGAGAGTTTTGGCTCAATAAGATCTGCTGGAGCAAGTTCCCAAAAATATTTTTAAGGCAGGCAACCTTGCCTGTGCTTCAGTATGTCTGTAGCATTTTTTCTCTTTGATTGCATGAATAAAAGTTAGCACTCTGCACTCAGCTGCCCGTGGTTTCATCAACAAACAAATTCAGTAAATCCTTGACATTTTGCAGTGGTTCCTAAATTGTACCCTCAAATGGAAACAAGCACTGACCTAAGACTTAAAAGTATCCAGTATTGGCCCAAAGGCCGTGAAAATTATCTCAAATGTGCAATAATTCATAGAGGTCAGTATTTTTCCATTGCTTCTTTCCCCAGTTCTTTATTCTGTGCCCTCCTTCACTAGTCATTGTCTGTAAGATTTTTCATTAGGTCCAAAATAATACATGTTTTTCTCATTTCTTTTCTAATATGTTATGCATTTGACACTAACACTGAAAGTGGAAATCTAGAAAAGATATTAATTTATTACACAGCATAGAACTATAACTTGCTCTTTTGTGAAGTTAAGTTCCAAACATAGGTGTTTAATAGATGTATTTTTCTACTGAGAAAGAAAGCGATTTTACCTCCATTATAAATATATGTATTTCAACTTCCTCCCAAAAATTTACAAAATTTGCACTGTTTTATAAGTGTTACAGACTGTGTTTACACTGGCTATGTTCTTTAATGCAAAGTGTAATTAAAAAAAAAACCAGAAAAAATCCTAAATGAAAACCCTGCATGAAAAGAGCTGCATATGTTTAAATGAAAAGCTGTACTTTTCATTATTTTCCTTCCCACATTACTCTAGAATCTGATTAATTCACATAGAATGTTCAGTGAGATTTTGAACCTGCTAGTTCTGTATTAAGCATGCAAACTCAAAAAAAAAAAAAAAAGAAAGAAAAGAAAAAAAACATATGCAGGTTGGTCTGCTTCTTTTATTTACAGGGATTTAATATCAGTAACAAATTCATTTACCCAGTGTTAATATGTCTCAGAGCAGTAGTTATCCTAAAGCAAAATGCAGTCATGTTTGTATTGAGGAAACATGAAAAGAACAGGTTTTCAGTCCTTTTGCAAAAGCACACTGAGTGTCTGTGTATCAATATCTTTTAGTTATAGATGCCAAGTCACAATCTGCTTTAAGAGTTCTGAGTGTATGTTGAGTACTACGACAATATATACATGAATCAGACCTGCCTGTGCCCCTCTGCTTCTGGTGGGGGGGTGGGGACCTGAGCTCGGGGGGCTCTTGTTGGCTCAGCTTGTGTGATACCAGTACAGAACCATAGAAGTGTTTAGGCTGGGGAAGATCTCTGAAATTATCAACTCCAGCTGTTAACCCAGCTCTGCCAAGCCCACCACTGACCCGAGTCCCCAGGTGCCACAGCCAGGTGGTTTTTGTACACCTCCAGGGATGGTGACTCCACCACTTACCTGGGCAGTGCTTGACAGCCCTTTCAGTGAATATTTTTTTCCTAATCCAATCTAAGCCTCCCGTGGCAATTTGAGGCCGTTTCTTTGTGTTCTGTTGCTTGTTACTTGTGGGGAGAGGCTGAGCCACACCTGGCTACACCCTCCTTTCGTGGAGCTGTAGAGAGAGAGAAGGTCCCCTCCGAGCCTCCTTTTCTCCAGGCTAAGCCCCCCAGCTCCCTCAGCTGCTCCTCAGCAGACGTGAGCTCCAGACCTTTCCACAGCTCTGTGTCCTTCTCTGGACATTCTCAAACCCCTCTATGACATGCAAGAGTTTCCATAAGTAGCACTTAAGGGTCTGGAAAATCACTGTCAAACAGTGAAATGCATCCATCTGTGGGACTTGGGTGGCACAGGAGCCATGAGCTTGTCCCACTCTGGGAATACCTCCATAGCAGCCCTCCAGGGTGGCAGCAGTGACAGCTGGGTCAGGCCTTGGTGGCAAAAGTGTCCCAGTTCAATCATGTGAGATTCATCAGCTGAAATAGAAGGGCATATGGGCACTTTGTGTTCCCCTGTCTCACCAAAGCCATGGTGGCTTTATCAGCTGGATTTATCGGGGAGTGGCCAGGACACCACCCTGACTGTGCAGCCCCACCACCCCAGCTGGCCAGGCTGTGCCTTCCCCAGTGACAAAGCCACCAGCAGCAAACATCCCTATTGCAACCATGGGGACTTCTGGTTTGGGACACATTCATCTGAAAGATGGTTTGTGTTAATGTTTGGAAGCTGCTGTTTTTTACCTTTGTGTGTGGTGTACTTTAGAGTAACTGTGGTTAAAGATTGTCTGTAAAATGAGCCAGAAGTTGGAAGCCTATCCAGTGCTACAGATTTCATGCTCCTAAAGAATGTTCAGCAAGAAAACAGGATAATTTAAAATTAGGTAACACAGTGAATATTGACAGTTCTTGGGGGTCGTGTGTTGGGCTGGTATTTTAATAACATTCCTTTTTCTAGACAGTAGATGAGAAGCCTCTATAAAGATATTGCCATACTCTTCCACCAGATCTGCTCCAAAACCCACTCAAGCCAACAGAAAGAGTTCCATGAAGTCCAGCAGATTCTGGATAAGGCCATAACACCTTATGCTTGCTGTGTGCAGAGGAATATGAAAAAAAGAGAGAGAGAGAAGGCAAGAGACTAAGAAGCATTTGCTTATTTATTCTGTCTAAAATGAAGCTTATTTTTGTCCCTGTTTGGTGTGGATGTGCTCCAGGACCATCCAGCCTTGGGAAAGGAATTTTGTTCATTCTTTGTTATAAACAAGATAAGAACTTGGGAATAAATAACAGATACTTTTACAGGGGGAAAAAAAAATCCTTACTTTTAAGGGCCTGTGCTCTCAGTAGTTCCTTTGATTGAGCAGGCTCTCTGTTCATCGAAATGCATAAGCACATACTTAAATTCCCTTAATTCAGTGAGAAATGGTTTGCTGAGCAGGGTCTGGAAGGGCAGTTCAGTGCCAGAAATCCGAGCACTCAGCAGCCTTTAGAGCTGAGCCCTTCTGGAGAGCTCTGAGCAGAGGTGAGAGGAGCTGCCAGGTCCCACAGCCCTGCCCACAGCAGGGACAGCCTTCCGTGCCCCTTGGCCTGGCAGTGACACCACGTGGGAACTCCTCATGGGGGAGAACTCTGGGGTTTGCACTGGGTCCCAGCTGGGCAGCTGGGAGCTCATCCCATGGGATGGCTTGGTGAGAGATTCTGTCTGCAGGACAGCTCCACATCCCTGCAGCAGCTGCTGCGTCCTCTCTTGGGCACCCTCTGAGGTTCGTGCTGGGGCTGCAGAGGTTGTGGGACTCTGAGAAAAAAAGTGGAGAATGTGAAGAAGGGAGAGGAAGAAGAGAGCAGTTGGAGTCCGAGGGTTTTTCTTGTATGAATGCATCATGTTTGTCCACTCTTCAATGGATGCTGTGTAAAGTTCCCCCAAAAAATGCCATTTATTGCAGCCCACTTGCTTCAGAACCCTTCTCTTGATAATTTTAAAATTAAAATTTCAGGTTTGGTTGGATGGGAATTTCTTGGTTTCATCCACAGGGGGAAAAAAAATTCTCCTTCTTTATTCCCCACAAAATAAAACAT